TGTATACTGAGTAGAGCATGGATGATACTGTGTAGAAAATGGTGTATACGGGGTAGAGCATGGATGATACTGTGTAGAGCATGGTGTATAATGGGTAGAGCATGGTGTATACTGGGTAGAGCATAGATGATACTGCGTAGAGCATGGTGTATACTGGGTAGAGCATGGATGATACTGTAGAGCATGATGTATACTGTGTAGAGCATGGATGATACTGTGTAGAGCATGGTGTATACTGTGTAGAGCATGGATGATACTGTGTAGAGCATGGATGATACTGTGTAGAGCATGGATCATACCATGTACTGCATATTGCATCTTTTCTCATATTGTCTTTAACAGATCCAGAATGCCAACCACTTTTGGGGCTGGATCAAGACCCACCTAGTAACAGGCTTGTATTACGAAGGAAATTTCAAGCAAGCAGGCTCCCGCCAAACAAGGGATGGATATGGAACTTTATTGGGTGTCCCAATCCTAAGACAACAGCGAATAACACCAAACGGTAAACCATAAACGTTTAAAGATTTCACGCGATTTTAAAGTACATGACTCGCTTTCTGATTGGTTAGGCTAGGTCCTTTATGAGGGAACACAGCAAGCGCACGCACTTTCTTATTCGTAATTTTAGAATTAAAAAGCGTGCTGGCTATCCTGTAAGTAGTTATAAAGCAGTTGCGGATTGGCAAGAGAAAGCTATTCTAACACTTCCCTCGTGCTATTCCACTGATACCTGCGTGTTTTATAACTGCACATTACGAGCGTGCATTTTTAAATAATAAAAGACAATATTCAATATTTTCAATATTTTTCAGGTACATGTAAATTAAACGAATACAGCATTCCCTTCCTTCCGCAATGCAACATTCCAGTACCAAGTGTTGAACACTACGATGAAAAAGACTACAGCCCCGGGTGGAAGTATAAAGCTGCCCGTGACTTCATCACCCAGTCACCATGGATACACAAGAAAGGCAGCCAATCAAACACAGACTACACAATGTACGCGAGGATTAACTCCTACGAAGCGGGCGGTTACATAGCGTCGCTAGGTTACAACAAATCCTCGGCTTTGAAAATGCTGAATGAGTTGGAACAATTGAATTGGATAGATCATTTCACTCGGGTGGTTTTTATAGAGTTCGCTTCCTATAACGGGAATATCAATATTTTATCCGACGTAGCATTTGCGGTTGAGTTCACGGCCTTTGGGGGCGCCTTTCCGAGATTTGACCACTTTTCGTTCCGTCTCTATCGGTACTTCACCCCCTTACAACTAATATACCTCGTCTGTGAGGTCATTTTCATCGTATTTATCGTCCAACTTATATACAAAGTCTCCTGTGAAATCTACGAATACAAACTCGCTTACTTTGCCTCATTTTGGAACATGACGGACGTGGTTCTTGTCGTCGCTTCGCTCGTTACTATAGGCCTCTACGGCGCACGCGCAATACAACTTCAGAACGGTATCAAGGCCATCCAAGAAAATCCTGCACTTTTCTATGGGTTCTACCCCATCGCTCTCTACGACAACCTCGTTGCTTTCATTTCTTGTATAGTCGTTATAGTACCAACTCTCCAGTTCCTCAAGTTTATGAAATTTAACAAAAATTTTATGATCTTCGATTTGACCCTGAGAATTCTGATTCCTGACCTTAAGGGTTTTGTTTTGATTTTCATGATCAGCTTACTCGGGTTCTCCTTCTGGGCCTTCCACATGCTGGGAACTGAACAGGAACCGTACAGCACCTTTATAGGAGCCTTCAACAGTATTCTCTCTATGTTATTAGGGAAGTTCAGCTTCAGGGTGTTTGCGCCTGGCGAGTCCCAAGAWTTTGGGCCACTTTTCACCTACGCTTTTACCTTGGTCAATGTATTTGTTATCATGACTATAATCTTGTGTATAATAACCATCGCGTTCACCAAAGCCAGGCAGGATAAATCGATCAAGAATAAGTACGAAATAGTGAAGTTTATAGTGTATAGAGTCAAGGATATTCTTGGGTTAAATCCTCCGTATATCCCTCCGAAACCAGTCATCAAACCTACTCCTGTTGACTTTAGCCAATTGCAGCTTGAACTCAATACCCAATACATCATGGAAAGTCAAATATCTAGGATTCAGAGGTTCGCTAACGTGGTGTACAGCGAGGAGACCATCGATGACGTTGAGATTGTTGAAAGAATTTTGGGGTTGGACAATGGCGCAGAATACTTGAAAACCATAATACGGAAGAGAAAAGAAGAGCAACAAGTGTTGATGGAAGGACATCACYCAAYAAYCGTCCYACACGAAGACCAGGGAAKTGAAGAACCAAAAGAAACAGCCAATCACGGCCAAGACAGGCGCCTTTCTACCCTTAGTACTGAAAACGAGTGTTCACAGGATTTTATAGCCTGATTATCGTATCTTTGCGAGGTGTCAGGAGTCCCTTTTTATTCTGTATTCGTACTACTCTAACTACTTATTTAATATGTTATCAACTTAGTACAGTAGAACCTCAACTAGCCTCGTCCCAAGGCTACTCCTTCAGCTCTCCCAAATCCAAAATAGCTGACGCTTTAGAGCAGTAGCCTGGGACGAGGCTAAACCTTACCTATTAAGCGGCCAGTGCAAAATCCCAAATTGGGGTTTTACAGTAATTTATACCTCAATAGCGCAGCGAACAGATTCTAAAAATACCTTCAAGACTTAGACAAATAATAATTTATAATTTAATAATTTATAATAATTTAATACTTATATTGCGCGTGTTACATGGGAAGGTGGTCACTACACGCGCATCACAAACTGAAATAGAAATATAAAAATATAAATCATGATCTAAACATACCATGTAGACCCGTTGCATCAGCCCCAAAGCAGCGCAACCAGGGCCGGGTTGTTCAAAGCTGGATAAGCGCTAATCCAGGATTAACTCTATAGGTCTTATTAAGAGTTAACCCAGGATTAGCACTAATCGGGCTTTGAACAACTGGGCCCAGGAGGGCAAGCAACGAACATTGCATGCCATTTAACCGTGTCGAGTGTTATACGAAAAGTTAGAATACTAACCGAATTAAATCTTCTATGAAAATTATCTGCTGAAAGTATAGTATTGATGGTTTTTAACCATTCCCAAGAGAATTAAATAACAAAAGACACGGCGGCCACGTTGGAGGATATAACAAAAGAATTCATTGACAATTCTTTTGTTAAGTTCCTCCAACATGGCCGCCGTGAAAACCATCAATAAGCTTGTTTGTCTGAATTTCGCCTTTGTGTTCGTTTTTATGACGATATCTGCGCGCTGTTCGGTAGACCAAGGTAGGGTGACACTACTGCTAGAGTAATCGTTGCTGTCAACTAGAGAATGTAAACAAAAGAATTGTCCATAGCTAAATATGGCAGCTCAAAACCATATGGATCCCAGGCTTTGCCAATTATTAATGATTATTAACTAATTATTTAATTTAATAACTTTAAGTCTCATTTTTCGCTTTTTTAAACGGAGAGAGGATCGATAATCTGGTTATTTGTAGTTGCAAAGCTCATTTTTTCAACAGTTTAGTAGGAAAAGAAAAAAAGAATAAAATAAGTTAAAAATATATTGGAAATAAAATAAAATGCGTAGAAAAGTAGAAAAAATAAATTTAAGTTAAAGAACTTCTTTTTTCTTTTTTTAGAAATGCCTCTTTTTATTTGTTTTTGTTTTAAATCTTTATTAAGTCTTAATAAAAATAAATTATATTTTTTCAATGTCTTTATAGTTTATCAGTTTAGTAGGAAAAGAAAAAAGAATAAAAGTAAGTTAAAAATAAATTGGAAATAAAAGGAAATGCGAAGAAAAGTAGGAAAAAATTTAAAANAAAATAAATTATATTTTTTCAATGTCTTTATAGTTTATATAATAAGTCATAAATATACTAATTAATTTTTTGTCAGTTGGATAATTTGAATAAAGAATAAAGAAAAGAAAAGAGAGAAAGAAAAAAAATGGGAAAAGACGTTGAAAAAGGCAGCTACCACAGGGAACCCACCTCTTTAAAATAACTTCCCATGATGCTCTGGTTATACTTCCGGCTGCATGTCGAACGTAAACAAAATCTTCGAATATAGACCCACAGGTAGCCCARGCTTGGTTTCTGTGGTGTCCGGTTATAAGGAAATGTATGGAGATTCATAAAAAATTTCAATAAAATAATTGAAACGTGAAATAAAGCCTCGAAATTTTACCCGATCATTGAGAAATAGCACTTCTTTTGAACTGTGTGGTTATTTTTTGAATTTAGCCCGTTTTAAGATTTTTTCCCCCACCACTAAGAAATAATATTTCTTATTATGTCTATTGACAACATTATACTAGTATCACTCAAACGTTGAGTTGATCGGATGGTGTAAGGCAACGAAAACGAATAGCAGAGTAAAAATCTTCGGAAAAATTTACCTGGAAGAGAACTATGGCAGACGACAAGACGACGAGCCCTGTATACGCTATCCTAGACGCTGAAACGACGGGTTTATCAAGAAAACAAGACAGAATYATACAAATTGCTTGCTTAAAATATTATTTCTTAGTGGTGGGGGAAAAAATCTTAAAACGGGCTAAATTCAAAAAATAACCACGCAGTTCAAAAGAAGTGCTATTTCTCAATGATCGGGTAAAATTTCGAGGCTTTATTTCACGTTTCAATGATTTTATTGAAATTTTTATGAATCTCCATACATTTCCTTATAACAGGACACCACAGAAACCAAGCTTGGGCTACCTGTGATAGACCCTACTGAATGTAAACAATTGAAATTTTTAGATCTTTCGAGAACACCTTTGTCTTTAAATTATGCTTATCATTCGGTGATCATTGTAATCTAAGGATTCAATCACAGTATGAGGCAAGTTTTTGAAAAATTTTGTGTAGTCTACTGGTTTCTTATGACATGAGAACACATTCAGATCACTTTTGGTGGATGAGTAAGGCGGTCTTTTATGTCTATTGACAACATTATACTAGTATCACTCGAACGTTGAGTTGATCGGATGGTGTAAGGCAACGAAAACGAATAGCAGAGTAAAAATCTTCGGAAAAATTTACCTGGAAGAACTATGGCAGACGACAAGACGACGAGCCCTGTATACGCTATCCTAGACGTTGAAACGACGGGTTTATCAAGAAAACAAGACAGAATTATACAAATTGCTTGCTTAAAAATCGGTAAAGACGACTCCCAAAAAACCTGGATGAGGTACGTCAACCCAGAGATGGACAGCGGATATTTGCAACAAGCATTTCGAATACATCGTATTTCTCCAGAATTTCTGCAGAAAAAGCCGCTATTCAAAGACGTGGCAGAGAGCTTTTGCGAWTTCTTAAAAGATGTCGACTACCTGGTTGCTCACAATTGTGTGTTCGACTGGGACATGCTGTCTAGAGAGTTCGAAATTCTCGACCAAAACAAAAAGAAGGATGATAATTTAAAGGATGATATCTCCAAACTATGGTGGGAGAAATTTTATTGTGAGAATAACTGGGTTGATACTCTTCGCTTGGCAATGATCTGCTTTCCCGAACGAAAAGCTTACAATTTGCATGCCATTAAGGAGTTCTTGAACATCGAACCCCTACAGGGGATAGATGGGGGGATTTTGTCCACCCAGTGTGATTGTGGTGGAGATGAGTGGAAGCAACGGCAACATGATGCCATGTTTGATGTATTTACAACCTATGGTATCCTTCAACGCTGCATTAAGTCTACCTTTYATGATCTAGTACAGAAATATCCAATGGCATTGCTTGATACTAYTCTACTGCTTGACATGCAAAGACTAATAGATGAAAAAACGACTAGCAGACAATATCTTCTACCCTTTGCTGACAGATCAAAGGAGTACTTCAGCACTTCAAGACCAAAGGCTAAAAAACTTGGCGAACTTTCAAAGTACTTTTTACAGATGGTGACATTGTCTTTAAAGGTTGATACAAGGTCTGATGACAGAGTTATTTTAATCTATGAGGCTGCCATTCTTGAGCCATTGGAGAATGAAATGCTATCTCATTCATCTTCTACGACCAAGGAAAAGGTACAAAAAGTGGAAAAAATGGAAGAGGTCAAAGAGGAAGTGAAAATGACCAAAAAATCGRAGTCGGAGCAAGAAAAAAGGGACAAGAATGACGATGAGGAGTATCTTAACTGTAGCAGACAAAAAAGGCCAAAACTAAGCTTGCAGTGATCTAGCATTATGAAGCTTAACCAAAGAACATTTTTAACTAAATCTTATAGAATAAAGTTTGTATAAAAGTGTTGTAAAATGTATACAAGCATTTGTTCCAGTTCATATTTAGTTCTACTTCTCTGGGGAACATTTACATTTTAGAAGAGGGAAGAAAGGCTAGAGGACTCTACAAAGACTCCCATGCAAAAGTCAACCATGTTCTCTATCTTCAAAGAAACCACCCTTTAAATCGCTCTTTCTTTCTTTTTTAGTCACTGGCAGAACTTTGGATTGAATGAAAAATGCTAATGACCCTTCCTTTTTAGCTGTGTAAATACTTAATGACCCTCCTTTATAGATCCCTCAAGGCCCTCCTCTCTTCTAAGAGTGAATGTCCCTTAGGTAATGAATATTATAACATTATTTTCAAGCTTTACCTTGTATTTGTAAAGTTTTAGCTGTAATCTTTGTATAATCCAAGTTGTTGTTCATATTCTTTGAGTTGTCTTATGAAGCCATCRTTGGGTTTGACAGAAGGCTTGGAGTCTTTGACCATTTGTAAGGCATCATTTAGGGACATATGAAGTTTGTGCATCAAAAATGCAACAATAACAGTAGTTGACCTTGAAACACCAGCATTACTGTGAGCAGAGAGGTTAACAAAAGAACATGTTAAGAGCAAATACAAATATTTCACTACCAGTCTGGTTATATTTCCCCCGAAACCAATTAAGAATAACAATAATCAGTGGTGTATCAAGAAAAAACACTTTAATATTAAAAYAAATTGAACAACATTAGTATTCATCCAACAATAGCAGTAAAAGCTTTGAAATGTCCATGTGATCCTGAAGAAAAACTACAATTTGATCAGATTKTCAATGTGCTAGAAGGCTGTATGGTGGTACTCCATTACAGTGGATTTCACATAATTTTTTACCATCAGGTTCCAAAGTGTGTGCAGAAAATCCAAAATTTGCCAACAAACTTGGTGTGTTTGTTACAAAGTTTGAACCAAATTACAAYGAAGTTTGGAATGTTTCTTCCAACGTTGGGAACTTAACTGCTATTTTCCTAAACATGCCAACTGTAGCTTTGAGCTGCGTGCTGGAATTTTGTTTTTCACTTCTGTCAATCAAAAGGAATCAGTCAGTACCTTTCATATTTCATACTGGCAGCAGTGAAAAACCAAAATTCCAGCTTGCAGCTTGCAGCTCGCAGCTACAGTTACTACAAATGTTATGATATATATATATATATGCTCAATTTTGAGTAATAATTGTGATCAAATATATATGTTAGTTTACTTACCAATGAACCAAAACAGATCCATGGTGAAATCCTTTTTCGATAAAGTCAAACATTTCCTTAAAATACGGCTGGATTCTTGTTTCAGGGAGGTCAAGTATCTCCACATTCTTGTAAGTAAAATCCTTTAAAAAAAAAAGAATGAATGTATGAATGAATGAATGAATGAATGAATGAATGAATGGATGGATGGATGGATGGATGGATGGATGGATGGATGGATGGATGGATGGATGGATGGATGGATGGATGAATGAATGAATGAATGATAAAGGAAGTTGTAGCAGAAATTTTCATTCATGCTGGAGAAGGGGTCTTGATACTAAAGAATTACAGCCATTATCAATCACACATGCCCTTTAGCGATTGTTTCTGTCGYGATGAAGTAGGTTTTTGTGGACGTCAATCAAAGTATTTCCATGRCATTCCATAGGCACATGCCCTTATAGCTTTGTGTTTCCCGACAATGTTATGGAAACGCGTTTACCGTTATGAACATGCACCAAAACCTTCTTTTGTCGCGACAGAATGTGATTGAGAATGGCTGTAAGTAGACATGAAGAAAAGGGGAAGGGCAATTGTGCAACAATATTAAATCAACTATAAATAAATAAATGGTATTCATCAAAGAAAACACCAAAAACAGCAAGAAAATATTCCGTTGCTGTACGTACGTCAAGAAACGCGTTTGCTACTCCAGTTGCTACATTCAGAATGTGAGTTATCTTTAAAGCTGTCAGGGCATTCTTATTACGAGCACCGTCCTGTGAACTGATATACAGCTTGTCAAGGACCTTGTAAATCTTGGTATCAGGGTTAGTGTCTTCGCAGAAGCCCAGAGACGATAGGCCAGTGTCTACAGTGACTCTCTCTCCATCCYTGGTAGACTCGACAAGCTGCAGCAAATGCACGTGTGAATGAACCAAAAAAAATACTCAAAAATTTCGAATTAAAAAGTAAAAAGTAAAGAAATAACAAGTGCTGGTGCTGAAGATACTTACCTTCTTCCCTTCTACTGTTGTTATTCTTGTTTCGACATTTTTAAGCCTCTCTTTCGAAAATTTTTCAATCTGAGACTGAAAGTTCATCTTTTATTTTTCGCAAATCTTCGAGGCGTTCCTCACGTGGGTACCATACCACAGGGATCCCAATAACAGTCTCCTGGTGTTCCATGCTGCCTTCAAGTTGAGAAGATTATGTAATACCACTCCCAGGACTCTAGATTTTCAGTCTCATTCCTTCAGTTCTTGATGTATTAAGCTCATTATGGCATTAACACGCTCTTTGATTCGAATTTCAAGTATTGGTAGCCGTGCTTTGGTCCAGGAAAGCTCAGTTTTTCGTTTATCAAGAGTTATTTGTGGCTGCCCAGCTTCAAAACTGGAGTCAAATCTATCAACTACAAGTACTTGTTGGACTGRGTTTCGTCAAATTCACGAAGATAGACCGAAGGTAGACCCAAAAGTACCAATATCAGATGATTTAGGAACGAAGAAACAGGAAAAGGAGAATGAGGCAAACGAGGAATTAAATCTAACTCAAGTCCAAAGGCTGAAGAAAGTGTTTGCTGAGTATGGGTCTACAGCTGTAGTATTCCATGTTTGTATATCTCTCACCTCCCTGGGGATATGCTATACAGCTGTTAAAAGGTAATATTGTATTGACATAATAGATTGTCTGCACATCCTATCTCAATTCCATTACCCAACTATCTGCAACTACAAGGAATTTTTGGATTTTTATTTGTGAATTGTTGCTTTTCATTCATTCTTTCCTTCTTTAATTCTTTCTTCCTTCCTTCCTTCCTTCCTTCCATCCATCCTTCCTTTTTTCTTTCTTCCTTCCTTTCTTCCATTTTGTTCCTTTCTTTGAGTGCAAAATTGTGAGGCTGTTTTAGGGGATGAAATACTCGGCTTGAAAGATATGTCTCCTAAAACAGCTAGTCCTACAATTATAAGAAAAAAACAAAACAAAAAACTTGTCATCACTAATCGCAATGCCAACTCTACCCAGTTTTTACCTCAACCTTGGAAGGGCTTATACCAGTAGATAGATTAGCACTTGAAAATACCATCATGTGTTATATATAACTTTACTTTATTTATTTCAACAGTGGTCTAGATGTTCCTGCGATGCTACAGAAAATTGGTCTGAGCCAAGGAATTGTAGATTCTGCTGTAACAAAGGGAGCCAGTACCTTTGTTATTGCTTACGCATGCCATAAAGTATTTGCTCCTGCCAGGATGTTCATGACAATAACATGCACACCTCTCATCGTCAGAAGGCTACGCATAATGGGTATTCTCAAAGCTCCTATTAAGCCAACCTCGTAGATTTGTGCATCAAAGCAAGGACCCTCTTATTCTGAGCTCCTCCTATATCAGGACATAAAACCCTTCCAATAACTCAGGTCTAAAGTAAATATTTTCATATAATTTTGAAACTAGTTAAAGTGATCATGAAGTCATTAAACCCATATAAAATAGATATTAGACTAATACACTTTAGTAGACTATGATTTCATTGTTTTCTTTTGTGTCTATTTGACTATTACACGTTGACTAGTATTTTTTATTTCACGGGTTAAATGCCTTCACTCTACATTCATTCTCAGTATATAGCAATTGAGCGCTAGCCCAAACTCTTGTTCTGTGGTGTTGTAGTATTTGAATATTTATAGTACACTCAACAAAATTACTTGACTCTGATTGGTCGAGAGGAGTACAATTATAGCGTTAATTGTACTCCGTAGGAGTACCGAATTAAGTCGCTATGGCAACACGGCCAAAACAATGTCAAAGCAATTATTTTATATCATTTTGTACTTAAAAAACATATAAATAAAATTTTATAGCCGTAGGAACTAATCTTTTTCATGCATTTCAGTTGCGCGATGGAGTGAAAATTGGCTGCCAAATAGACAAAGATGAAAGGCGTCACTTCACATTTTTTACTGAAATTTTGTTGAGTGAACTATAAACGAAAAATCGCACGATCTTCTTGTACAAGGTCGTGCGATTTCCTATGCTAACGGTAATATTTCGTAGAGCGTAAAATTAGTACTCTTAAGAATAAAAGACTTTCCTCAATAGCTTGTTGAAATCTTTGATGTTTTGCTGATTTTAGGAGGATGACGAATAACGATAACTCCATAAAAATGCTCCAAACTTGCTTCAAAATCAGCAAAACATCAAAAGATGCGACAAGCTATCAAAGAAAGTTGTTTAAAAGTACTAATTTTACACTCTAAAATATATATCCATTAACATTCAATACCACCAACACCACAGAATCGAACAAGAGATTAGGCTGCCTGTAGGCTGACAAACGCATGAAAACAAGGTCACCCAATCATCTTGCAAGGCTGCTAATTCAAAATTAAGGTGGATAGACCCCTGGCCTTGCATGTGACGTAAAAGCAGCTTGATCTGCTGGGGGACAAAACAAAATAATATCCTGAGAATTGGAACCTATTGTTTTGTCCCCCAGATTGAACTGCATTCCAAAGTGCTGCAAGGGGTCTATAGTACGAATTCAGGTCAAAACAAAAGGTCAATTTCTATACTTTTTCTCTATAAACCCATTTCGTCTGCTTTTATATCTTTTGTGAACTAATGACTGGGTGACATCGTTTTTGTGTACTAGTCAGCCATTATGAGAACTGTGTATATAGTGCAATTCACCTTTTTGGCGCTAGCCGTCACGTGGTATAAATTGTGTTGGGTTGTGTTACAGTCACCAAAAAGTTCGGACATTGTTCTCAGATTTCTGTAGTCAAAGTACCGACTTTAAATGAACCATTTACTTGGTTTGTTGAGTTAGTTGTCTAAATATAAGTAAAACATCATTTTTCTAACTTGATTGAAGCTTTTCATATTGCTGTTAAGAGAGCTAACTAAAGAAATCTATCTAAATTTTCTCTTTAAACTCAGTGAATTTGTATGGGAATCCAAGAACCATGTCCAAACTTTTTGGTGACCATAACACAATCCAGCAAAGTGTTTATGATGTGACGGCTATTGCCAAAAAGGTGAATTCAGGCTCGGAAAACAACAAAACCATCATTTTTTTTCGAAAACATTACTTGAAAACAATCATATTAGCAGCACAATTTCCAGCAGGTTTATTTACATCATAATAATAATTACAACAATCCATTTAAAAGTATGTCTAGTTTTATAAGCAACTTATTTGAAATATACTAATACACTAATACTTGGAAATTGAAAATGGAATGACTGCCTACACGAAAGTATATAAACATTATAGAAACAATAATTGTACGACTACTAGATCGTATATAGTACTATATTGTAGACTGTATACTAGAGTGATTTTCATTAACCCATGAAACAAAGTGTACTAATTAGAGTGTAATATATAGTGAAATAAACACAATAGAAAGCGAAATAATTAGAGTGTAATGGTACAAATAAGCTAAAGTGTATTTCACAGTTTATGAAAACCACTCTAAATTCAATTAGAATTTGTTGAAAATGGGACTATCAGAAAGACGTTTACCTACAACTACTTTTTCTTACTGCAAGTTCACTTCAAAATGTTGCAATATTTAGAAAGGATGAAAAAAGTATTAGAAAAGTAACAAAGAACTTTTTCCCAAAACTAGTTGAACAACTTTATGTACATTATTGATGATAGAAAAACAACAACTAAACATGATAAGCATGTTATTTTATAAGTAAAGACGAAATAATGGGTGTACTGGTGAATTAATTCCAAAAACTTATGAAAAATTTAATCGTATAACTTAACCTGACTTACTAACTTCTCACAATTTTGTATTTTTTTTGACAATAGTAAAGTTTTAGGTAGTCCTGTAATACATGTCTGAGGTTATTTTCCTCTTTTTTTAAAGACATTGACATATCTTTAATAATTTAGTCTTAATTCCAGTTATGATGCGACTGTTCTTAAAGGGATTTCACTAAACCTGTGACATGGATCTACACTTCATATTTCAAGGGTTGAGTTCAATACTTCATTTGAATTTCTAAAAATTAATGGACATATTTACATTCAGTCAAATATATATAATTCATTATAATATATCTCTCTGGCATCAATTATGATTGTTTTGTAGATGTTTCAGTTACTGTTGATGTCTGTTGCATTGTGTTGTTGACAATCCAAGGATGAATGAGTACTTTGTCTAGTGGAAGTCGTTTCTTGGGATCTTTTTGTAACAGCTGAAGTCAAAATAGGAAATTCATCAATGCAAGCACTTGTCATATGTACAATGTCTGATACTAGCTAATGTGCTTTATTAATACATTTGATTTCCATTATGATATGACCACTGTAATAAAGTGGCTTTTAACACCTTTTGAACAACTCAATCACATTATTCTCAAGTTATTTTAGATTTTTGAAAAAAAACTGTGTGAAGGCCAAAAGCTGAGCGAGCATGTTTTAAAATTTTCTTGCACATGCCCAAGATGAATGACAGTTCACAAAAGACCAAAACCCAATCAAAGCTTTGCAACAGCAAGTTGCAATGCAACAGTTATCACTGTATTTAACTCACCCTGCCAATAAGGTCTCTTGCTCCAGGAGAAACATGGCTTGGGTATCTAACGTCACCCTATAGAAAATATCAATAAACCAATGCTCAATAATTGGATCAAATTCTGCAAACAAACAGTGCAATTATGCACTATGCTCAACAAGGCAGCCTAGTATCTGTCACAGAAATACTTACCTTGGAAATGCGAATATAGGTTTCATTATGTCCTTCTGCTTCAAATGGAGGTTTCCCAACCAGGAATTCATAACACAGAATACCTAAACTCCATAGATCAACCTATATATAACACAATAATAAAATGTCAATATATTAGTTTTACAACATGGTATCAAAATGAAGAGGAAGATATAAAGTACGAACAACTAGATTCCTTGCCTTTTCATCATGCATTTTTCCTTCTATCATTTCTGGAGGAAGATAGTCAAGAGTTCCACACAAAGTAGAGCGTCTGAAAGTAAGTAATGTGAAAGTTTTTAAGATGAGAATATGTAGACCGCGTAGCACTTATGAAATACATGAAGATATAGAAATGTAAATAAGTTATAGTGCTTGGGAACGAGGTTATTCCGGGGCGAAAGCCCTTGGAATTAAATTCAGAAAAATTAATTTCCGACCTCGCTGGGAATCGAACCCACGACCTTCTGAATTGTACTACCGATGCTCTACCAGCTGAGCTAGAGGTCAGACTGAGAGCAGGCCGGGGTGAAATAGATGCTAGGTCGCGGTAATTATGATGCAAAGATGAGAATATGTAGACCGATTCCCAGCAAGGTCGGAAATTAATTTTTCCAAATTTAATTCCAAGGGCTTTCGCCCGGAATAAACTCGTTCCCAAGCACTATAACTTATCTATATTTCTATATCTTCATGAAAGTTTTTAAAGGGGTTTCGCTAAACCTGTGACACGATGTCAATACCTTACTATGACTAAAAAATATTTTTCGTAAGCAAGGTTTAGTGAAAAACCCAAAGTAATTCCTAAACTTATGCTTACTTTGATGAAGGTGCATGAACAGACCATCCAAAATCAGCTATTTTGATTTCTCCCTGTACAAAAAATCAATTGAGAAAACATTCTGTCAAATTTGGCAGTTGTGCATTGGAAAGAAGCCTTGCAGAGCTTTCAACTAATGAAATGCAAATCTTTATTATACATTCTTTTATTTGTAATTCTTTGGTTATCATTGGGACTCTCGTATAATAAGATTTTCATTGCGGGGTCAAGAAAAGAAAGGAGCTGTCCCCTTTCCCTCTTTATTCTTCTCTCCAGACTTCATTCCAAATAAATCCCAATAGAATCCAAAATGGAGTTGCCTGCATAAGCAGGGCTTAGAATAAACACCGGACACTGGACAATGTCCATCCAGAATTGGAACTTGTTTGGTCAAATCTTTGCCTTGGCTGTAATTTTGACCAGTGACGTTGAGCCAGAAATGAGGTATGAGGCCAAGACTAATTTCGCCAACTATCATGACAAAAGCTCATGCTATACAGTTTGTGAAAAGCATTGAATCCTACCTTTAGGCTGAGCAGAAGATTCTCTGGTTTAATATCTCTGTGAATTACTTTTTTTTCATGACAGTAAAGAAGAGCTGCAGCCAGTTGGGAAATGTACTAAATGTTTGGATAAAATGTAAAGGCAGCTTTTAGGATTTTTCTTAAAATAAGATTTATTTTTGTTTAATGCCTGTACAGGGATAGACAGGAGAAGGTGGAGCCATGGAGTTTTGATTTGAGGGCTGAAGGCAAAAAGTACAAATTCTTCAACACTCACATTTGCAGTACGTTTTTCATCAAATTTTTCATTCTTTGTCAGCTCTTTGTATAATTCTCCTCTTGGCGCATATTCAAGGATTAGATAGACTCTAGTTTCATCATAGAAATAACCATACAGACGAAGGATGTTTGTATGTCTGAAGAGCAAAATTTGAGAGAACTTAATAGGTAAAATAGAATTGTTAGACCAGTAGTCAGGAGAGTTTATTTCTTCCATCAACCAAAGTACTTCTTAGTACTCTGATACATTGATAAGATTTAATGAATGGAAGCCAAAGCACAAGAAACATAACTTTAATATCTAAAAAAAATTAAAATGACTTACCGTAAGTGAGACTGAATTTCAATTTCTCTTCTCAACTGATGTTCTACATTTGATTTTTGTAACTGGGATTTGAACAAGACCTGAAAGATTAAGAATAAGTATAGGAAATTGCACGATCTTGAGTACAATTCAGAATTTATAGGTACCAGTGATGTTTTGAAAGTTTTCAAAATTGGATGAGCCTTAAGGACGGTGCCTACTAATTGAGAACTTTTAAAAACTCACGAGTATTTATAACATCTGAATTGTACGAGAATATTGTGTGATTTTTCGTTTATAATACACTCAACAAAATTGAGCAACTTAATTGGGACTCTACAGAGTACAATTTGTATAGGAAATCGCACGATCTTGAGTACAATTTGGAAATTAATAGACACGAGTAATGTTTTGAAAGTTCTTGTAATTGCACGAGCCTTTAGGCGAGTGCAATTAAAGAACTTTCAAAACATTACGAGTGTCTGTTAATTCCAAATTGTACGAGAAGATCGTGCGATTTTTTGTTTATAGTTCACTCAACAAAATTTCAGTAAAAAATGCGAAGCGACGCCGTTCATCTTTGTCTATTTGGCGGCCGATTTTCAGTCCATCGCGCAACTGAAATGCATAAAAAAGATTAGTTCTTACGGCTTTAAAATTTTATTTATATGTTTTTTAAGTACAAAATGATAGAAAATAATTGTTTTGACATTGTTTTGGCCGTGTTGCCATAGCGACTTAATTCAGTACTCCTACAGAGTACAATTAACGCTATAATTGTACTCCTCTCGACCAATCAGAGTCGAGTAATTTTGTTGTGTACTATAAGGAATTTAATTGTACTCCTGTTGTCCAATCAGAATCAAGTAATTTCATTGAGTATATTATAAAAGGGGAAATGTAATTCCATACATTTAAGCAATAATAGACCTAATTCCTGAATTAGATTGAGTGACCAAGAAAAAAAGATTGAAATTTTTTACACTATTTTCTTTAAAAGCTGCTTGTATCTAAAACTTGGCTGCTTACCTTGAGTGCTACAATGAATTTACTCTTTTTTTCCCTGGCCAAGTATACATTTCCAAACTTTCCTGGAAACATAATTTAAAAAATTAAGATGATAGGTAGTGCTCAATCTCAACAACAAAACCTACCACTGAGAATACTGAAGTACGAGAGCCTCTTTGATAATATTAAAAATGAAAGTATGTTTTACTTCAAGCTCTGACTAGTAGCTAGGAATTTTTAAAAGATTATTTTGTACCTTTTCCCAGTGGTTTTCCAATGTCAAAATCAGCTAAAGACCAAATGCTGAATAAAAGAATAATATGTAAAAAAATTAACCTCTACTTGGAATCATGGCAATTAAAGAACGTCTCCATGTGTATGCCTTCATTTATCTTATAATAATAATAATAACAATAATGGGAGGTTCTTATATAGCGAATTTATAGAATATCTCAATGCRCTTTACATTTATGACCAGTGGAGGACTTTACAGGCTGCATATTAAGGCACTATTAGCAGCTGTGCAGCTTACAATCATGAGTGATTTGTTAGTACATTAGTGATATGCCTCCAGACAGGGATAGGCTGTTGAACTGGGAGACAATCCCCGACTCTTACACAAATAATTCAACAGGTTCATTTATGTCCCCCATTTTACTGCAGGTCAGGAAAGGTTGGAAGACAGGTTGAAAAGACTTGAAGGTCTAACCAGTTATTTTAAGGTCTTCTCAGTTATTTTAAGACCCTGAGTGTTGGTCCGGCTGAGGCTTGAACCACGACCTCCACGACAACAGACCAACACTCTTACCAACTGAGCTAACTGGGTGGCGGTTACCTTATCTTATATGCTTCTTAGCTAGACCTATGTATTTGTGCAGCTCTGGCATGCATGTTGGCCAGTTTATCCCTGGATTGCTGTAGGTATCTCATGACTGAAATCTATTACATCAGAGGCAGATCTAGGATTATTTTTGGAGGGAATGCACCATTTATGTTGAGGACACCCCCAAACTCAAGCACCAATAATACAGCAGATATCAGCTCATCTATGAGGAGTAATTTACGGATTTCAAAAACCTAAGTAGTTACTTGCTGCAAAATTTATATTTTTTGCTTTATTGCCTTGATCTTCAGTTCTGTTATAGGAAAGTGTAAAACCTTCCCTGATCTAAATCAGAAATCATTTAAAGATATACCTCGAAGGATCCTTCTTTTCTTTCTTGTCCTTTTTTTCTTTCTTTGAAGGAGGAGGTACTCCTGTTCCCTGGGTATTTGGGTGCCCCTCTTTTCTCGATATTCCAGCGTTCTCTTTGTCTTCAACATTCGTTTTAGTATGTGTGAGCCTGGAGGGTGGACCATGAGATGGGACGGCGAAAGTGCCCTGCTTGGAGGGATGTATTGGCTTGTTACTCGTACTTGCTACTGGCTTATTACTTGGAACTTGAAGATGAATAGCCTATATGATGTAAAAACGCAATATTACAGTATAAATGATCTATGGTTATTTTATTCTGTAGTATGACTTCTATTGTTGTATGTCTCGTTCTACAAAGAGTTTTCCAACGACTGCATATCATCTGGGGGGTATTATGTAGTTGCTCACAGTAAGTGCCAAACGTGTAGATAAACATCTTTTAAATTTTACAAAAGAAGTCAAGAAGCGCTGATTGAATTTGATCTAGAAGGGGATCGGAAGGCACAATTATTCTTGCTCAGGCGAGAACTTCGGAATAGCATACATTAATTTAATTCTGATAGATTGATATGAAAGAAGAATAAGTAAAGAAGATATTTTTATAACATTCACCTTCGATTTCTCTTGGTAAAGACTTGAAGGACCTTTGCCCGTCAATTCCATGTTATTGAACTACAAGAGACAAGATGGCAGCCATGTTAGAAAAAAACGGATCGAATCACCCGCTATTCGCTTTAAAACTTGCCTTCTTTCCCATAGCGTTCAAATTGCTCTTCAAAACGTCTGCAGACATACCTTTACCAAATATTTTTGATCAAATTGAGGATAAAATAGGATCGTTTTTTGTGAAGGATAGCGAGTGTCTGTAAAGAGGAGCCTCTTGGCATCGATCTTGTTCCACAAGTTTAAAACACGCTTTTTTCAAAAGTCGCACCGTTGACTAATACTCCTTTGTGATTGGCTATTTTGATTTCATTTTGACCAATTACTTATAGACAATGGAACCAAGCCTGATTTTCAAACACTCAAATTTCTTCACAGGAAGCCCAACGATACAAAACCAAAAACAAATTAAACAAACAGAAAATCAAATAAAATTAGAAAAAAACCGCATTTTTTTCATGATGTAATGTCTAAGTAAGCTTTACATTTTCCTCGATTTTTACATGATGTAGATTACGTTTCATTATATATCATTTTTTAACTGGGTAAAGTGTAGACATTAAATGGTATAAATATTTGAGGTTTTTCAAATGAAAAATGCTTCTCCGAAAAAATAGAATGATGAATATTTTCTTTAAAAGTTAGATTTTCTTTTAAAAAGGACATTTTTATTTTTTTTATTTTTCTGATTCCACGATCTTATTGGACAGCGGATAGCCGCAATAATTCAAAATGGCGGTGTGTGTGGCTGTGATAGGAAAAGAGGTAAAAAGATGTTTTATCTGCTGTTTAAAACGGATGATCTTTCTCTTTAATGCATAAATAATAAACCTGTTTTGGTTTGTTATAGAATTATCCACTTTTTCTTCGCACTGTTTGTCCAGAGGAAGAGCTTAAGTTTCATTACACTGTGCATACATCACTAGATGTTGTTGAAGAGAAAGGTAAACTTGTTTTTATATCGTAATTTTTTTTCTTCAGGATTAAATAAAGATGAGTAAGCGATAAATAAACTCTTCAGGGAGRTGATTTACTATAAATAGTATAAATTTTACTCTTTCCTTTTACAAAAAACCCTTTCGTAAAATGAATTACTTTGTTTTGATTAGTCGAGAGCAGTACAATTAATCCTCACTGTACTCTATGAGAGTACTATTAGGTTGCTTTGGGCCTTACCACTATATACGAATAAAAGTCATCATGCTTGCTAAATAAACATTAGATACCTCATCCTTTACCCCTGTATGATTCTGTTTGATCCTATATATGGTCCTCGTAGTGTTTTTATCTCTACATGATAACTTATGATGATGTTGAATATCGCTTGTCATTTCAGTTTCATCACTGACAAAGAGCTCCAATGATCCAAGAGAGCTTTACTTAGGTTTACTTTATCCAACTGAAGACTATAAAGTGTATCCTTTATGAATCAGTCACTAGTACTTTTACTAAAAAAGTCAGGGGTGTTGATCTGCATGTGTGAAATGTGAAACCATATTTGAAAGTCTGTGTTAAATAACTTGATTTTAACTGTTTGATTCTAAGAATAGATGTGATGTCATAAGTATCGTTGATTGGCAGGACAGCGAGGCAGTTTTGGGCAAAAGGATATTTTTTGTTTACATTTTTGTTATTATTACTACACTGTTCAGGGCTGTCAACCCCCAAGATATTCAAATCTGGGGAATTGATAGGGAAGGGACATGACGTCACAGCGGAAAAAAGTGCGTGCGAGGCATCATTCACTTTGTAACATTTGATGTGATTGGTTAATTTTTGACCAATCAGATTATCGCTTATATTACGATGGCCTGCTTGCAAGAACAGTTTATGAGGAATGTTTTGATTTTGTTGATGATGTAAAATAACACAAAACACACAAAATATTATGTAATGTTATGGTTATAATGAAAGTCAAGTCTCACAAGAAGTGGTCAGCTTAGGCGATTATCTGGGAGATTTGAGACTCTAATCTGGAGACTGAGAGATACGGTCCAAAATCTGGAGACTCCCGGTATATCCGGGAGAGTTGACAGCCCTGCATTGTTATTATTATCATTATCATTATTATTATATTATAATTATAATTATAATTAATTTACTTTATCATTACTGTGGTACTTTTAACAGCAACCATTACATCTTGTAATCAAACTATGGTCAAACAAAAAAACAAAAGAAAACAATAGAATTAGAGTATATCTATTTATGTCAATTTATAATCATAATAATAAAATGATCATAATAGGAAGTTCTTATATGTGTAATATCATTGCTGTCAATGTCATAAGGCATGATACACACTGCAATTGTGTCACCCACTGGCAACACACCAAAAAAATGAAATGGCATTGACACTGTGAGAAAAACTTTCAGTGGGTATCAGCTGCTGCTAGTTGCCTAAAAATGTTTTTGTTCTTATTGTAAATTTAATAATTAATTTGAGTTGTTTAGTACATAGTTATTTCCTTCACTATTTAACCTATAGTTATGGATATGTAACAAATACAAAAGTCAAGTTTGTTGTTGTTGTAGAAACAGCGAATACATCTCTTAGAGACAATGAAATAAGAACTGTGAGTATTGATGGTCGTAAGTATTCTCAATAGGGTCCAAACACAAAGACATGGTGTGTGGTAATAACAAAGACACCTACATGGCTACCATGACTTAATTTGAAAACCAAGAATACGGACCCACATAACACTCCCATCCCTTTCACCACTTCCTGGACCACTTATAAAAGTTTTAAAAGAAATGAAATTCCCACTGAAATTATTTCCCATTCTCTACTTTCTCATAGCCCATAATGCTTTGCTTTACGAGGGGTAACCAATCAAAAAACTGTCCCAAATTGAAAGGTTGTTCAATTGAATATATGCTATACCTGCTTTTCCCTGTACAATATTATCAGTTTATTCCAAGTTAATTTTGCACATTCAGAACATCAAGAGATTTTGTGTAAAAGAAAAGTTATTGACTTGCAGAAAAAAATTTAAAATTTTATTTAAACTTCTTCAAGCTTCCATCTTTTTCTGTTTTTTACTTCTTCATTTTATATTTGGATATCAAACATGGTATTTTCAACATTGTCTGATCAGTCTTCAGCAAAAATAAGTGTGATTTTTCCCTCTGGTTACTCCCCAAAGCTGTGAAGTATTATGTGTATGGGAAAGTAGAGAATTCTCTCCTTTCCTCAGATTGTGTTTAAGTGAAATTTTTTTCTCATTAGATGTTCAGGAAACTTCACGTGGCATACACAGACATGTTTTGTAATCCTTTTTACAATCCTGGAGAAAACATTACATCAAGGTAAAGTACCACAATATTGCCTATACTAGCCATTCCAAGGTTTAGTAAAAACATGGTACAATGGGTGGATAGCACTATCTAATGAATAAATCTTATCCAGTGAATATGTCAATGCTGTTATCCAATAGTTTTATCCACTGTATAAAATTTACTATCTGTCTGATAGCACTATCCTCCCTTTGTACAACCGGGCCCAGCTTATAATAGTAACAAAAAATTCAAAACTATATATCCATAAATTGTCTCATTTTCATAAAGTTGTTCACCTGAAAAGGAATCTTAACTTGAACTTTTGTGAGACAAAGTTAAGTTGATGTTGCAAAATGTGAAGTTAAATACCTACAAGTAGGAGGTAGTAGTTTCATTTTCATTCAGCCTTTTGCTTTTAATCAAAACGACTTTCCTTATGGTTTATCAAATCTTTTTATTTTAATCCTCAGAGGTTTTGAAAGAACAGTTACTGGAATGATGAAGCAAGATTATTAAATAACCATTTACACACTGTAATAAACAGATAAAGTTTTTGTAAATATGGCCAGCAATTTTGAGCATTCCTGTTCATTTTTCTGTCTTTGAAAAGTTTTTTTTTTTGCTTTCACTTGGCATTCCTTCATTGTTATAGTGTAGTGATTTTTCTCAGACACAGAAAGTTTATAATAGTGTATAGAATTAACGATGGAAATAATAATATCTCCATTAGTTTACTAAGGCCTAGGGCAAATGTCGAACTTTCCATGCACTGAACTTAATTACATCAAAGAATGCCGTCTCATTATCACCTGATATCCATTGTTTTTAATGAGTTCGGTGCATGGAAAGTTCGACATTTGCCCTAGGCCTATCCATTTCATTCTCTGAGGATTTTGAAATATTATCATCAAAAATGGTTGGTAAATTTGAATGATAAAAGAAACCTGTTTTTATGGTTTGTAAACTAGAGTAATGGCAATTAACCCGTTATAAAAAATGTTAGTCTCGTAATAGTCAAATAGATACAAAACAACCCTGCGATGAAATTAGGGACTACTAATGTGTATTAGTCTAATATCTATTTCACGGGTCTAAGGACTCTATGAATATTGTTAGACTATCAAATAGAGCAAGTTACTGAATGCAGGATAAAAGACAGGAACAGTATTTCATAACYCCCACAAATAACACAACACTTTTGTTTTGAAAGTACATTTTATTGATAAAAGAAACAAATGAACCCACAATAGCCCATGTAGTGTACTAACTGTAAGAACAAGAATAAAAGTGTGCATCCCTTGACCCTTTTAGTTTTTTCCCTGTATAATGGCTGAGGTGAGGGTAAAAAAAGGAGAATGGAGGAGAAAAAGTATGAAAAGAGAGGCAATCAAGGAAAGAGTAAAGGCTGAGATTTGAGTTGATATATAAACCCCTACATAACCCCTAATATTGATTTCTATTTTTGAGAGTTTTTATCTTGAATCCTTTAAATGTTTTTTCTTTTGTTGCCATCTTTTTTCTTCTTTTTCTTTTTTTCACTGGAATGTTTTCATTTTTTCCTGGATATTTTCTTTTTCTTGACCATGTTCTTTTTTCCTGCTCTTTTCTTTTTCCTTCTTTTTTTAATACCTCACGCTCTCTCTATTTACAGTTTGTTATCTTCTTTTTGTTTATGTACTCCAATCTTGTTGTTGCCTTACATTATATGCAAACCTGTCCTTTAACACCAGCGTAAAAGTGAACTGTTTTCATTACTCACTAGGCACTTGGGTGTGGTACTTCTGTTATCAGTCCAAGAAACAATCCTGTAGAAAAAATCTCATCGCAATATTAGTATAGAAAATGCTAGTGAAGTTATTTGTAAACACCTCACTCTTAGTATGGGGAATACCAGTTGGCTCTTCCTCGACCCCTGTTGAGAAAAGGAAAATGATAAATATCTTGAAAGATATGACAAATTTGCTGTCTCCACTTATACAAAAACTACCCTATGGCACTAATGAACTGTACCTAAACATTGCTCTTCCTCTGCCCCTTGGAAAGCTGCCAAATGGATTGTATGGTTGGTAAAATCCTCCCATACCTCCACCTCCCCTGAATCCACGTCCTCTACCTCTACCTCGATTTGTTGTACTGATGCCAGGTCGATTTGTCCTTTTTGCAGAAACCTGAAACAATGTAATGCATGTGGAATATTTATGAGAGATAAGAAAAATAGAAAATAATTAGTTTGAAGAAATTCTCCTCAAAACTTCACATACCCAAAATTTGGCATATCTTACACCAAAAGATAACCTGACTCCAATAAATTTTAAGAGGGAGTCATTTTGACTTCAGCCTAGAGTCCAAAAAATTTATTGTCTGCTACCCAAAATTCTTGAAACTTGTTGTGAAGTAATATTGTCTGGGTGAGTGTAGTCTTGAGTCACCACCACTACACAAACCTGGACCATCAAACTTCACAACAAACTTTGACACCTGGGTTCAAACCATTTACTCTTATTCTTGAAGCGGTTACAGAATCAAGGATATTGGTGGTTTTTAAATAAAATTCACTGTCAAATTAAGGGTTTCCATTGCTGTTTTGTTGTGTATCGTTGATCATAGCAACCACTTTAATTATCAAAGTTTCTGAACAGTGATTTTCCACAAACACATACAGGAAAAATGGAATTGTTTGAAAATGGCTCAAAGAAGGAAATTTGTAATCCCATATTATATTTTCAACTTTAATTATCTCATCAACTATTTATCTTTTGTTTCTTATTAATAACAGTTACATTACCTTTATTTGCCTTCCCTTGAACAGTGAATCTTCAAGAGCTACAGCATTGTTTACAGATTCTTTATCAGCAAACTCAACATATGCAAACCTTCAAGAAATTTCACACCTTTTATTACATAAGGCAGGAATTACTGTGAACAACCATGAATAACGACTGCAAAATGTGCCACAATGGTTTGTTGAGGAATGATTGTAAAATTTGTGTAATGCAAATCTTGAGTAATCGTTACTCAAACCAGCATCAACCTGAATTATGCTCTGTTTTACAGTTTCTTTTTGATGGAACAGGATTCAAAGGCGGCCAAGCAGTAATGATTTTTCTTCCTAACCTAATACAATATTAATTTTTCTTGTATCCTTTTGGACATTCTATTAGCAGAATAGTGCATACATACTACGGATCTCACCGAACTGTGGAGACATGTCAAAAATTTGTCTTACTGCCACATCCTAATTGGTCTACTGACACGCCTTCTTTTGTTCTTGTGTAATACCTTACTGGCAATGTGCTGGATTCGAGACAGTGACAAAAGTAAGCATGTCAGTAGACAACTTTGGGCATGGTARCAAGACAAATTTTTGGCATGTCTCCTCAGTTTGGTGAGATCTGTAGTATTCTGGGGGTTATGATGGCATTTTCCAAAATACTGGAGGAAGAAAGAGTATGTACCCTTTAGGATGACCAGTAAACTTGTCGCACAAGATAGTCACTCTGTTCACAGAACCACAACCATGGAAATGCTGCTCCAACTCCTCTGCTGTTGCCGAATAATCAACCTGAAATTAAATACTTGCACTAAATATGCGAAACACAATAAATGAAAATGAATTACTACCTATTGTACTTGAGCTCACAAAGCTAAATTACTAGTGAATTCGCTCAATGGTTAGGACATCCAAAATAACAATTGATCACATTTTGAAATTTGGTTTACTAGTGACAATTCGAAGAGCTCCAAAGTGTCATATGACATTCTATAAAAGCTGAAAACTAATGTCAGGTGACTTAACCCAAATTCAAAATGCAGTCAACCGTTTTTTTGGTGGTGTTAACAGTTGAGGTATTTCTATAGTAGTGGCTGTTCAATGTCTGGCCAAAATTTTCACTAGTCCAGCCAAATGCCTTAAAAAAATCTTATGAGTTATGCTAATAAAAACATTATCTGTTCTGAATTTTACCATTGGAGGGTTTCACAACAGATACAAATCATTTTCTTTCCATGACAAGAAATTTCCATGCCCAAAGGAGAACACTTCTTTGTTTTCTCATACTCAGCGCAGACAATCAACGAAATCAATGATCAGATATCCAATCAATAAATTGATACAATTAGTTTAATGATATGGATTTTTATTGGTCAATCAGTAGTCACAAAAAGGTCCATCATGAAATGATATTGATTATAATTGATAGTATTACAAGCAATCAATATTAATTGATAACTTCACAAATTTCTGTCTTATTGATTGACATCGATTGTCTATGTTGGCCAGCAGGGCTTAAAATAACACAGGTCATCAGATAATGTCCAGACAAATTTGGAACTTGTCTGGTCAAATCTCAACGTGACCAAGCTAAAACTAATTTGGTTGATCATGAACAGTGACTGACTATACGTTATTTTAAGCCCTGTAGTGGGTACCATAGGCCTTTTCTGAGATAGATAACACAGTGCATTGTGGTCTAGCTTAGGTACAAACATCTTTTGTTCCTCATGCCTCATATGGTTTTGTTTATACCAAAGCTAGGCCACGAAAACATGGTGGCCCTGCAACTCCTCTTTAGAAAATTTTAAACAACTTACATTTCCCACATAGACTGATCTGGAATCGATTTCAGCTTTTTCCTCTACAGTTTTATGTATACCTGTAATATCGAACATATCTCCATCACACAGATGAATTTTTCTTTTGGAAGAAACATAAAGGAAAACTGTGAAACAGAATCAATTCAAATAACTTTATACCACAATCACTTAGATCTACTGAAACGCAAGCTTATTTTTATCTAAGATTAAGACTTTTATAACCTTGTGCTGGTGGGCTCATTATAGACTGTTCAACTTGTTTTTGCATCTCCTTTAGCTTCTCGGCTTCTTCCTCCATCTCTTTTACTCTAGCTTTGATCGCTTCAAGTTCCTGTAGTAGAAACAAATATTTTGTTCGCATCGTCTTCTCTGGCGACAAAATTGCCTCCCAAAGTAAGATTTCAGATAAACCTTACCGGATCCTCAGCATCTTCGACAACTGAATCATTCGCGATTTCATTCAAAACCGAATCATCAGCTTCTTCTTTACTAGTCTCCAAAGCGGAGTCGAGGAGATTATCGTCGTTGGTAACGTCGTCAATATCAGCCATTTTTAAGACGATCTAATAAAAATATAAGACTAAAAGAAAGTAGAAACTTTTATACTTTGAAAATAAAACTAATTCTACTTAAATTTCTCTCGAAATCTTAGAAGATTGAAAAGGATTGTGTTCTATAAATAAAAGTTTTGTCAGCAAAATACAGCAAGCGATTCCAAAGCGTCGGACAAATCACGTGACTGAATGACGTTGTTCATAAGGGACTAAAACGGGAGGGGAGGGGAGGGGGAAACAGTAAATTTGTAATAAATAGCATCGACTTTTCTCCCCAAGTATAAAACATGCTATAGTATACTAAAAAATCTTATACCATAACAATGTTCATAATGATGGATCCATGAATTTTAAATTACCTCATGGAAATACCACCGGAAACCCACAAAATATGGGAAAATGAAAATGAAAAATGGCATTTCAACATTCTCATTCCCAGAGCCTGCACTTTTGCCAGTCAGCGGAAGGCAAAGTCCAAAAGTCCAATCCCAATTGATAGAAATCAAAATCGAAGCATATATTTTTATTGCAAAAAAGGAAGGGGTGACTAGTCACCCACATCACCATTCCTGAAGCTGATATTTCGTGATATGGTAGGAAAATTTGACAACAGTATAAAAATACCCGACATCTCTATTTTTACACCATAAATATCATTATTATGATTTTGTGCATGCAGCGTGAGCCATTCTAGCATTCTGAATGCCAATCCAACAGTCATGGATTAATCTAAATTGTTTTGACTTCCAGTAGTTGACTGTTATTGTATGGTTATAGGTGATCAATAGTCCCCTTCATTATTACCTGTGCCATCTTGCAAGGTAACTGTACCTGTGCATCAAGTGTTACAACTGCAGACAGCCTAGCAGGGCAGGCTACATCAAAGGGAGAATGGCAGAGACATTGCAGTGATAGAGACCTTTTTAAACGCCTTGGATGATTATCTGTATTCAAATATTTCTATCTGTGCAAGATCAATACCGTTCATACTTCAATGTACATGCAGGTAAGTTACCTTTCAGGATGGCACAGGGAACTGTAAAGAGCAAACGATTGATTGACCACCTAATCAATCAGAGCTCAGATGCTAGAATGGCACAAGCAATTTCTATGAAGCTAAACAATGTAGTACTTTCAGTGTCAGGTAATTTGGGGGTAATTTACCGACTACCAAACATCTGTGCCTATGAGTGAAAATTATATTGGTAAAAACTGAAAATAAGTAAATATTGAAGATGCTGATCTATTTGTGATTCTGGTATGTCCAAACAACTCATAAGAATTAGATTAGACTTTTAAAATGTCTAGTACTACGACTGTTTAAGAATATGAACTTTACAGATAGATGCATGTCCTTTGAGCATAAGAATATAAGAGGGTTATAAATATTATTGTTTTTGAATTTTTGATAGTTTTAATACTGCTATCCACTTGTTGGTACACTGGTGTTTATTCTTAAACCATGCATTCCTTTGACCTCTTCAGAAAGGGCCTAATAGAAGAAAAGAGAAAGAAGTTAGTAAGAGGAAACAAAAGTTTATAAAACAATCCTTTAACCGTCTTAAAATTCTCCTTCTCCAAAAAAATAAAAAATGAAAAAAGCAGTCTTTTCAAATATTTCTCTATAGTGTTTATATAGGTCTCTAAAAAGGTCTTCTAAAAAGGAATCCACTAGAAATTTTAATATCTTTTATCACCTCATTAACCATCCTATGTTGCTGAACCATTCTTCTTCCTTTGAAAACCTCAGACTCTACTGAAATTTCATACATAGCACCACAACCACCTAAAAAAATATTGATAAAATTTCAGTTACTTACTTTCATAATGAAATGTCAAATGAGCAATAAAGGGCTTTCAGAATAAGCTGGTAGTGCCTGAAGATCTGGTGATTATTTTGAAGTTTACTTCCAGCTACTTTTTCTTTTCTCTAAAAATCTTATCATTAATGTATCAAATCACAGCCAGCTACTTCAGACTTATGGCCAACTACTCCAAAAACATTCTGAAAGTCCTGCCATAATTTTTGGAAATTATCAATAGGTGACATCAATAAGTGTGAACATCAATTGTCTATTTCTGTACTGTAAGGCAATGGATTCTCAAGTTTGGCATACTATGGTCTAGGTTTTTAATACCTGAAATATCTCTGACTTTAATGTAAGTAGCATCAATTTTCGATGCTAAAATTTCAGCTAGTTTCTTCTCTGCATCTGTGAGAACATCAGTCTGGGTAAGGGACCTAGTAGCAACCACAACACCTAGTTGTACATCAGCTGCCTATATATAAAAGATAGAAATAGGCAATGTTTATCTAATTGGGATATCATGGGGGAAATGAGATGTGAAAATTGGGACAAGGGGGGGGAGGGGTGGAGTTAACCTGCCCAACAGCAAGCAGGCTAGGGGGGAGGGTGATGGGGGGGGAGGTAGTATATTGCAGTAGTTTGTTGGAAAGGGCCTTTGTATTTTTCTTCTGTTGTATTTACGAGTTTTAACAATTTCTCGCCCTCTCCCCGTAAATGTCTACCTTCCCATGAATACTGAATGGCTAAAATATGATAAAAGGATGATTCGATCATATAAAGGTTGCACTGCTTTATAAAATTATGTGATTGTCCCACGCTGTCATACAACAGCAAAAAGCTTTGAAGATTAAAAAAAATTAAGTATAAAAAATTCGAGTTTGCAAGATCCAGATAACATGAACTTTTGAAAAAAGCACTTAGTGAAACTAACCTTGAACAGCCTGTTCAAAAACAGAGCTCTCAGCATTTCAAAACGAATGGAATGGACAGATCCAATACCAGTATCATGAGCAAGTTGCTGGTTTACCTTACGTAATGATTATCAGCGGTTACGCTGCGGGCTCAGAAGAAATCCACAGGAAGCCCAGCCAAAATGCATAAGTCAGCAAGGAATATTTCTTTTATTTATTTCCTTTCATTAATGTACCTAAACATTAAAATGACAACATATGATAATGGTAGCTAATTTGATAAGTGGTAAAAAAGTTTGATCCTTATGCATGAATATATTTTTGTACTTTTAAAATATAAACAATGATCACAAATTAAAAATAAACTTATTCAAAAAATAAAAATAGCCAATATTAATCTTTAATGAATTGAATCACGCTAATTTTGGCTATTATTTGTTCGTATTTACGAACGGTGGACATCAACGACGAGTAATGACTACATTATAAGGCTTGGGCTTCCTGTGGTGAATTGCAAAGTATCACGGGAAGTCAAATTCGATAAACAAAAAGAAAGATGGCGAGCAGACAAGGATTGAGTTCTTCGCAAAGATTTGGTCAGGGATCTTTAGGACGAGACTCAAACCCCTCTTCTTCTGGGGGATGGGGTAAACAAGCCACCAAGAGATTCAACACCTCCGAAGTATTCAAGAAAGACCCTCTTTTAAAGAGTTTACAAGGAAAAATAGCTGTTGGATTTGGAGATTATAAGCCTTGGCAACGGACAAATCTCCCTAGATACGTGCCTCCTATTAAACCTACCGAGGGTGGAAAGGCTAAAAAATTTCAAAGCAGACCTCTTTCTAGCCATACAACTCATTCTACGTTCAGTGTTGGCGGAACGTCGAAGGGTGGCCCAGATAGTGAAAGACCTCTTAGTGCTATGACACTTCACACACAGTGTTCATCAGTTTGTCTGCATCCATGGATCAAAAAACCTGTGTTGACAGCGATAAATACTTATGATAAGAAAACTAGAAAAACTATCTCTTTAATTAAGGTATTTATTTCTCGCCTTTTCATATTAATATTGGTTATTATTATATTGAAATTTAATAACCCTGTCTTGATTGGATGCCTTCACAGACTTTGTTGTTTTGAATCTAAATTAGTGATGCTTGTCATCCATCATGGCTGGAATGATCTAGTTACAAAATATGCATGACATAACACTCTTTCTAGTAGACCGAGACAGTCATGATTTTGTCATCGCCTATGTAGCATCTGTTATGTTAACCGCAGGTGCATTGCAAATCGACCATGTTATGCCAGTGATGTACCACATGGACAAGTTTTTTACACCATGTGATAAAAACTTTATTGCACTTCCATTATGTGGTGTAAAAAACTTGTCCACGTTGTACAACATTGGGTTTGGGTTCCATTCAACATTGGCATCACTGTACATGTAGTCCCATTCAGCTATTGGATGTGACTCAAACTTCTTCCAGTTATTTAGACCATGTGTCATTGGAAGATGTTTAAGGTTTTTTTTGACACCTGTCAATGAGGAACTCCTGATTAGCAGTCCATGATTGCTTTCCTGGTTGTCTGGTTCATGTGCTACCATTTAATTGGATTGTTAGTAATAATATTATTTCTAATTCTATAGATGCAGATAAAATTGAGACAGAAAACTCTAGAGGAATATCGGAAAAGGAAAGCAGAACTGTATCTTTTTTAGATGTCCATTTTTATGTTTTAGGGAAAAAAATATTAATTTCAATCTTTCAGCCCACTTATCTTCCTAATGGTCCTCCCTAAGGCCATTGGTCCCTTTTCTTGCTAGAAACAATATGACCCTTATTCAATTACTTCTTAATAAGAAGTTACAATATTGTAACTATACAATTTCTGCAATTCTCCCATTGAATTCTGCAGCCCTTGCTCTAAACCTATCGGAATTAATGAATAACACAATTTTGACTGATTTAGTTAAGTCTTCCTTGACAAGTGTTATTATCAGGCTAGATCATAACTTGAGTTTCCAAGATAAGATTGAAGTATCAGAAACTAATGTGGTAAGAAATCATTAGTATTATACACTCGAAAAATTACTTGATCCTGATTGGAAATAGGAATTATTTAAGGAATCTATATTTACTCCTGATGTTTTGAAAATTCTCYAATTATTGGTCTTGTCTAAAGGCTCATTCAATTTTGAAAGGCCTGTCCAATTTTGAAAACTTTCAAAACATTATTTATACCTATAATTAATTTCAAATTGTACTTGAGATCATGCAGTGCATATATATTTGAATCATATAACATTTGGAAGAAATTATAGATGATAAATTTTAAAATGTTTAAAATGCCAGGCGCATGAATTTTTAAGAAGCCCAAGCAACTTTGCTAGTGACATGTGATGGTTTTTATTGGCTGTAGTAAATCTAGAACCTTGATAAAATAAAAATGTTATCAATTTTGAACACATTAAAAGTTATTTCCCCCCTTCATTTTCAGCATAATGATGTCAAGTTGCTGCTTGAAAAGTATGATAGATTTAGGGTAAGTCTGTATACAGGTGTATCATCCAAGTAATTTTTTTCTTGCACCTAATGCTTATTTATGTTATAGACTTTCATTTGTCTTATGGTGCAATGTTTTCCTACTACAGAACATGCTTGCAGATTCCCTAGAGTCCCATTTTGTTTTGGATACAAGTCAAACAAACAAACTTTATCAAGAGAATGACTTGTGATATGAAATGGGAAAAAATGAGACCCAATTGAATAATTCTAATAATTTCTTTGATTATAGGGAGCTTTAGATACCCTGAATAAAACCTTTGATGAGGATCTTGCAGTTGCAAAAAGAAGCTTATCGAGTACCAAACTAAAAGTATCCAAGGATATTGGAAGTAAATATTATACATATGTAGATGAAATATTAGATATCTCTTAGTTGCATCTCATGATATTTTGATATTGTGTAGTTCCCCACCCATGGAGGAAATTGGAAATTCTGGAGGGGAGGGGGGTTAGAGAAAGGGTACCAGAGAAAGAACAAAATTACAGAGTTTGTATGGAAGAATATTGGAAGTTCCTGGGGGTAGGGAGGGGACCTTTAAATTTACAAATTCCCTCCATGGTGGGGGTATGGATATTTTCTGGAACTACGCATTTCCAAATTATATGGATACACATATGATACATCAAAAACAACAGAGACCAGTGTTTGGTGGGGAAAACTTATTGAGATAACAACAAGTAGTAACTAAATAAGCCAAGAGTTCAAAATTAATACCCACTCTTTGAGAGGGTGCTGGTTAATTAACGATTTAATCTTGAGTACTAACTATGACTTCCAATAACTGTTTAGAATGATTGCAACTTAATTCAATCATCTAAGAGACAACCCTTGTTTACGCTAAGGCCCTTATGTACGACATAGTTGTACTCTTTTTACAATTATCAGCTATCACCTAGTGATATCATATTACAATGACTTTGCACCATATTTTTTGTCTAGAATTGCAGCATGAGCTAGAGCTAATGGATGCTAAACTACAGAAAAAATTGATGGAAGTAAAAGTTCTTCTTAACTATAAGGTATATTCAAAGCAAATGAAAGAAACCTTGCTGCCTTACAACTGTACATAGAATTTTTAGAGGTACTAAATTGKGATTCTTGTGGGATTTTGTCTTCAGGATAAAGAATATCCAGAAAAAGCACTAGAAATTTCAAGACTAAAACGCAAGAAAGAAATTCTCCAAGTTGCATTTAAGGTCAGTCTGTGATTGATTATCAAATAATAGCATATATTTAAACATTTAATTATTTAATGAGGGATAGTTTGTGGTAAAATTAAGCAGTCTTGCTGCAGTCACCTTTATCATATATATATAACAATCTCCTCTGCAATATGATCCTTCATTAGTTTTGGTCCTAGATCCTCATGGGTCCTCTCCACTAACTGTTATTTGGGAGGGCCCGTGAGGAACTTGGACTGAAACTAAGGACAGCGAATGCCAGTCTTTTTGATCCACAGTCATTTTGATCCAAGGTCGTTTCAGGTCGTTTCAATCCACCCACGTACACATTCGATCCTTATGATATACCCTTTCGATCCATGTATATAAACAAACCACATAACAAGTCCTATGGTCAAGGAGACTAATCATAATTACATTGGCACCCCTTTAATTAAAGACACTTTTAAATGGGGTTCTGGCTGCATTAATCATTCCCTTAAAGAACAGAAGCCTGTAATATATGTAATTGAGTACATCAATCATACAGGTGCTTCAGGTTCATTGCTTTTGCAGTAAAAAAACAATTTTGCATCAAAAAGCTGTTGAAACTGTCCAAGTATGTACAGTCAGACCCAGAATATYGAAAACCACAGTAATATTACAATAATCATTGTATTGGATTTTCTACAGGAAGAACTAGAGGAATTAAATGCTGTGATAGATGCAGAGACAAATAAATTTAGTGTCAACACAAAAACTACTGAAGAGACAATAAGAGCAAATGTTGCTGAGGTGTGTGTTCATAGTTTTTATATTTTATATTTACAGGAGTATAATGGTTATATCAAATTATATTAAAATGGGGGTTCCATTATTTTACTGAACTAATGTAACGTGAGATCATAGCAGGGAAGGATCCAGGGTTCTCTCTATGAATTGGGGAAAGGGGCATGAAAACTATGACCACATAGTGCCCACTTGATCATCTTGACTAATGCATGTGACGAGTTGACTCAGGTCATAAGTATTGGGCGTGGATGCACTTCTAAATCTGCCTTCTATGCAAATGGTTGGATCCAGATACAGAAATAATATATGAATACCGAAATAAATAGGGGGCTGTTAACCCCCAAGATTTCTTCCCCTGAGTCAACCTCTTTTCATAAATTATGCTATATTTACTTTAATAGGAAACAATTGCATCGTTGAAGCAGAATATTAAAGATATGGCTGTGCAAAATGAGATCATGAAAAAGGTAATCAATATTTTCATTCAAATAGAGAAAATAAAAATTATGACTTTAACTTACAAATCCCCATTTTTTTTGTTCTTAACATTGCATTTATTCGTTTATTCACTTTTTTCAGGAAATCAAAATTCATGAAAATGAAATAAAACTCCTTGAAACTAGAAATTCAGAATTAGAAAAAGAAATAGAGTAAGTGATATAATAATGTGTACTTGATAATTAATTTTACAACTGATTGCATTATTAATGATCAATTGTATAAAAAAAATTTTTTTCCTGTAGAATTCTTCTAAAAAGTCCAGACCTAAACACAAGAGCACACTTATTCCCTGATGTATTTGGTGAACGAGTCAAGTGAGTCTACGTAGAGATCAAATTTATTATGGAGAGGGAGATAGTAATGAAATACTAGCTAGCTTGTAAAAAGAGGTGTATCTTGGTAGCCCCGGGTGGACTCCAATTTGAGAAGGGATGGGATGCTCGTCATACCTTTTAGGGTTCCAGATCTGCAATTTTATTTGGTATCACTCAAGGTGTCACAAATCTAAGATGACCCCTGGACCCCTTCTTAGGGTGTTTTTGAGGCAATAAGATACCTGAGATTATGTGATGTCAGTCAGAATGGCAGTCATAATTCAGGATAATAAAAATCATTAGTTGCCACGTCCAACTGGAAAGGACAGATTTTCTCAATTGTAGATGTAACACGTAACAATATCATGTGAATGCTGCAACTGCAGTCATTTTACAAGATTAAGATCTCAGTTGAAGCAACACACTCCTTTGTAAAACTGAGTGCACTACTTTAATCTTAATCTGATATCTTGCCAGATAATTGTGGCAGTGATGACTGATATTAATATGTGGCACTTAGGAAGGATTGTTACTTATTACTAAGTCCTCACACAYGACAGCTGGTTTCCCAGATTCGCTGTAAATTCCCTTCTTTACCTCTGTGAATTAAATGAGTAAAAATAACAATCCTGTTTGCACCAGTCGAGAAGTGTCTCATTAAGGAACATTTTCTCACTGCTGTGTTTGTTATGTTGACAGATGTACTCCGGACATGGATGTGGTTCTTGATATACCAACCCAAGAATGGCTGCCAATATGATCTTATGAATAAATGAATAATTAACATGTAAATAGAAATATAATTAAAAGATATATTATTCAGAAAAACTGTATATTTAGTATAATTTAGAATCAAGACTGTATTTTGATACCAAATAAAGAGTACATATAGTAATTAAATATATTTTTTGATTTTAACAAATTATTTGATTTTAAATTAATAATAATAATGACTGATAATAGATGCTCAATATAACGAGCAAATGTTACATCATAAAAGGAAATTTGCAATGCAAAATATTTTCATTGTCATTGCAAACGATATATTGTATATTTTATACTATGACAACTGGGATGACTGCATTCAAAAGAGAGAAAAAATGTGGTGTTGGTAAGCGATTTCTTATCATATGAAGGAGGACCGGAAAGAAAAATTAACAGGACTCTTACTTCCGGTTAAGACTCGGCCCGAGTCCTACACTTCCTTGCATGCAAGGCCTGACGGGATACCCCTGCAGTCAGCCATCTTGGTTTGTACCGGGAAGAAGTTCATAGAAATGGCGAACTTTTTGAGATTATCTTGCCGACTCGTAGGGCGAAGAATCCATACTTCTGCTCCTAGAAAGTTTGATCCTGTACCTACTGTTAGGGCAGAGATTGGGTCGGATTTGGAAGCCTTGAAGCAGAAGGAAAAGGGACCTTGGTCAGCGCTGACTAAAGAGGAGAAAGTTGCATGTGAGTTGGAAATTCTACAGTTTTCTCGTAATATTGCTCTTTTTTTCTTCCAGCTTAAATGAGATTTTACCTCAATTCTCCTATGAAATCTAAGTATCCTAGTCCTTCAAATATTTCGAGGTCTTGTGTTGTTTCTTGGTCTTAGAGATAACTTGGTTAGAGTCATGATCACACCATCCCACCTGTACACATCAAACCTATTATCTCCACTTGCTATGCAGTACAATATGTTGATGCTACTTTCCAATTAATTTGCAACTTTCAAAGAAGCTATATACAGTTTTCCAGCCTGCACAACTATGTAACATGCATAATTATTATCATGATTACTAGTTATTTTATGCTCACTGTACCATTTAGCTTGTGAATTGATGTGCCAACAAAAATCTCAACGTAAACAACTCAAAATGTCAGTGTTCAGTCATTATTTAGAGGGTGGGGGTGCTGGTACAAATAGGGGTTGGATTTCATTTGTTATGCATGGTGAGGGGGGGGGGGGGGGGACAGATTGTCCCTCAGAAAAAAAACCATAGCATACCCACTGTTGTACCAGCCCCCTTCTTAATAATGACTGATCCCTTAAATAAGATTATAAACCGATGGCTAGTAAACATACACATTGATACATGAAATTTAATTTTTACAGAAAAAAAATTTCACAAGCTTTAGATATTGTCCGCTGACTTGCATCCCTTCCTATAAGAATAACAGGACAAAAAAGTCTGGTCAACATGATGAGGAAACCAAAACCAAATCTCTTGTTAAAGTCAACTGACATGGAAGCCATGACATGAACCCCAAGAATCAGACTAGATTTTTTTGAGTTTGGGTTTGTTTTATTTATTCTATTATTTCCTTTTAGTATACAGATCCCAGTTCCCAAAGACCCTAGCTGAAAGCAGATATGGAGAACCTTATGGCAAGAAAGTAATTGGAGGCGTTTCATTTTTAGTTGCTCTATCTCTTGGCCTGTTTGCATTCCTTCGCACATATAGTGAGTACATACCAGAAACTGTATTCCTGCATTCTTAATTAAATAGCAGCATACTGGTCAAAATGACTGGCAAGACAAAGATTTGACCAGACAAATTCTGGCTGTTATATACGGTCAATTCAAAAAACATTGTTGTCAGCCATCTCAAGCCTACGCGACTGAACCGAAAGGAACTCTGGGTAGCAATCATTGAAGCCGAGTTGAAGAGTAATTTTATTCGACTAGTTATGCCTGGTTTACAGCACGAACCTTTGTACGCGAGCAGGAAGTGTTGCAGGAGACGTTTTTTTAATGCCTTCATATTTTCAAAATTGTGAACTGAATCATAATTGCTTTGTTTTTCTTTCCCTAAACCCAAAGACATTCATTTAATGGATTGTTTCTCACCATTATTCTCTTATTACTAGCAGGACAATTAATTCAGAACGAATATTTAACCGCTTCAGTGATTTTTATCTTTTACCCCTATTCGCTTTCGGTCCAGTCGCGTAGGCTTGAGTTGGTCAATGACAACGTTTTTTGAATTGACTGTATTTTAAGCACTGATGGTTGCAAAATACATGCCCCCAACTAAAAGCATGTAGGTTATAATTCACCAATCTTGGTTTCCCATTGTATATTTGTGCCACTTGTCCAATCACAAGTCTCTTAACTGTTAGAGAAATTTATAGCATGCATCCTAATCTGAAATTTCTTGATTTCCAGTTGGCCCAGACCCCCCTCATACTCTTTCTGATGAATGGGTCAAGGCATCGCAAGAGAAGATGATTCGCCAACGAGCCAACCCCATCACTGGCATTAGTTCCAAACAGTAATTCTTGATAAATCATTGTGTAAGGAAGCAACAGCTTATTTGTGTGGCATATTCACAAGCTGTTAGCATAATGGTCAAATGGTAAAACTAGTGATTTTTTAATGACCTAAGACATCGTTGGCATGTGTTGTTATTGCTTTATTGTGTAAATAAAGAGACAAAAGCTTGAAACAAGTCAAATGATTTCACTATTTGTAAGTACAATTCTTTGGGCTTCCTGTTGTGATAGATAAAATGACTAAGGGAAATAATAACACCGTTGAGGGGGTAGGTAAGGAAAGGACTGGTAAGGTTTTCCTCTAGACTGAAGTAAATAGGGGCAATGCCAAGTCCCTATATTCATCATAAAATCATCTTAAAATACTTGATTTTTGAAGTGTCACTTTATTAATAAGTTAATATTTCAGACATAAGAAAGTCAAGTCACAATATATCAAAAAATCAATTTTCAATGATGACCATTAATGTGAACAATATGACCTGAAGCTTTACAATGCAAGAAGGAATGCTTTACAATGCAAGAAGTAATGACTTTGCATTGTCCCTGCTGTGTTATGATCCTTTAGTCTTTCTAATCATTGATTCCAGTAGATCCCACTGTTCTTTGGGTATCTGTCAAAGACAAGGGGATAAAATCAATCAATACCATATTATTATCTTGTTAAGGTAAATGATAGAATGCATAGCTGTTGAGTTGCAAAAATGCAAACAGCTAACAGACAGTGTTTTTCCTGGAAAATACTCTCAGAAACAAAAAAACTGGTGTCTGGTGAAAGTAATCTCGGAAACACAGACAGCTAGTGTCTTTCCTGGAAAATAATCTCAGAAACACAGACAGCTAGTGTCTTTCCTGGAAAATAATCTCAGAAACACAGACAGCTAGTGTCTTTCCTGGAAAATAATCTCAGAAACAGACAGGTAGTGTCTTTCCTGGAAAATAATCTCAAAAACACAGACAGCTATTGTCTTTCCTGGAAAATGCTCTCATAAAGCTGATGAATATTTATTATTGCTCTACATAAAAGTGCTTTAAAAAATTCTGAACTCGTGTGTCATTAAATAGTGATTAATAATAAATTACCTTTCTGAATTCATTGAATTCCCCAGCCATGGACACATACTCTCCACCATCCATCACTACTACCTACAAAAAGTACAGAGACATTTTAATCAGTCCTTCATATTATATTCTTTCATTCTCAGAAATACCAGTTCTGTTACATCCATATAGCAGGTTTTGTATGACTTTGAAAAACTCAATGGCACAAATGCAGCCATGACATGGCAAGGGATATGCCAGACCAATTACATTGCTTGAAAATTTACTCTCCACCCAATCAAATACCCAAACACAGCATAAACATGAAGCAGACACAGCCACACCAAGGTCACCACACTGGCAGACCAATCACATTGCAAGAGAAAGAAAATTAGTCAATTGAAATTCTAGAAAAAAATCATGCTCACAGCACAGCATGCTTACAGCACTGAGCTTTTCACAGTCATGCCAAACTGCTCTAGTAAAAGCAACCTGCAGATGGAGAACAAACATACCTCCCCTGAGATCCAGTTGGCATAGTCACTAACAAGATATGCTGCTAGATTAGCCAGTTCACTTATTTCACCAAACCTTCCAACAGGAATACGACTAAGTGACAAGGCGGAGAATTCTCCAGTTGGGTCCAGCCTGCTAAATGCACCCTAAACAATATTATATTTTTTATTTTGAGTTAAACATTTTAAAAAGCTTCTTATGATGTGAATGTAATTAGTAAAGTAGTAAGAGAGCCACATTTTAATGAATTCAAGGTTTGTTATATTCAATGAATGAGTCAATACTTGTTTGCATTTCAATCCCATGATGCATGCACAATTGTGACTTCATATGTGAAAAAGTCCATTTGTGTTGTTGCCAAAATGATCTCTTCCTCAAGAAGACCTCTTTTTTGCTTGAGAATCATGTTTTTCATTACAGACCACATGTCATTTTCTTTAGAATAAGATTCTTTGCTTGAGTCACATCTATATTCATGTGTCTTCTCAAGCAACAACCATTAAACAAAGAAATGATACTCTAGGGAATGATATGTGGTCTGAAATGGGAAAGCATTACACAAAGATGAATTAGGTCCCCATACTTTCAACATAGTTTCATACCTTGGTTTTGATAGGCCCTGGAGCAATAGCRTTAAATCTCATTCCATAACGTCCCCATTCAGATGAAAGAGACCTAAACAAGAAAAAGGAAAAGTATGATATAATCTGTGACAACCAAAATTTGAACAACCAATAGGGGTTTGCATAGCATGGGCACTTATTTCTATGCAGTTTCTGTTGCACAAACCAACTAGGAGCATTGCTATATATACCCCCCTCCCCCTCCCCCCATAGGAAGCTAGTCAAACATTTTACCATTATGCCTAAGACGACGATGCGAGGTATGGGCCTGTACTCCTGACTAAGAGACTTCCAAGTCAAAATACACCAAACTACAGCTAGTCTCCCCCACATACAGCCGCTTTCAATGTTGTCATGCAATGCTTTAAAGCTTTGCGTGACAACACTGAAAGCAGCTGTGTGGGAGACTAAACTACAGCACACGAAGACAGTAATAGCAGACATTATGGATGCATTAAAATGAGACAACAAGCGTTGTATCACAACAGCCTCACTCGTATGATTCTTAAAACAAAAGAATATTTCATTGCGGGCCCAACTGTTATAACAGCCCGGGGGGGGGGGGGG